TAGTGTCAAGAAAGGTGTCAACCTACACTGGCCTGGCTGCAAGCTTTGTGAAGTTGATATTGGCTCCCCTTTTCTGATTGTGAATCAGTTTATGTTGGTTTATTTTCTTCTTCTTAGGAAAGAGAAAAAGGCCAAGATTGTTGATATATGTTGTGTTTTCTCAATGATCACCAGACTAAAACTATGCACAAAGTGTTGTTCTGTGTTAAGATGTCTCTTGTATGTTGGTGTTGTGAGAGTATATGTCTTGAGTTGTGTATGTTGTTTCTTTCCTTGGGTGTATTGCCTAAAAAGGAAATTTCTAAGGATCTGAGGGATTTACGGAAAGAGTTTTTTTTTTTATATATAAATTTATCAAGCCATGTGATATAGTTGTGGGTTAATAAATATATATATATATATAAAGATATAATATAATTGATTATTGTAATATGGATACTATTAGTTATCTTCTTCTGCATAGGTGGATACAAAATCAAGATCAAAAGAAAAGAAGCATTGAGCAAGATACTGGATCCGAGTAGACAATAAGTACCTCAGACAGTCGCAAGAAAATAATCAAGAACACGGATGGATAAGTTCTTCAGATGGTTAGGAAGAAGAAGAATATCCCAGAAGGGTTGACTTCTAATGAAAAAAGGTTTCGAGCAGAGATCCTTTGAAGGACATGAAGTATTTTAATTTTCTTTTTTCTTTTCATTTTCATGTAGTGCACTTGCACATTTTTAGATATACCCTTTTCTTTTATTTTTCCTTTCTCCTTTTGTAGTTTCTCAAATTTAGTTCCTTGAAAGATAATAAACAGTGACAACCTGCTGGCAATGATGGGTAAGTTAGGAGGGTCTTCACCTAAAACTTAGTTCGGAACGAAATATTGTCCCCAAGGTTGCACTTAGAGGTTGAAGCTCTTTTAAGAATTGTAAGCTGTTGATGAGTGTGTCAGTACAAGTCTTTTAGTTTAGCCATTATGCAATTGCCCTATGTATCTCTATCAGTTTTCTTAATGATTAATAAACACACAGTACTGGCCTGACCATGGGTATTAAAAAAAAAAAAAATTATTGTAATATTGATTTAATTCCATTTATCATATACTAAAGACAAACTATAATAGTATGACTACTTGATTGAATAATCAAATTATATTTAATTTATATTTTATTTTAATTTTATAATTAATTTAATTATTAAAATCGATTTTTGAGATATCACAGTACAGTATATTAAAATTTTGCAATTGCTCAAATTGTTAAATTACTTTGGTTTTTTAATAAACGAAACCAAATTTAAGTCTTAATTAATATTTCTACATTAAACTTAAACTTTTAATAATTAGTTTAAAATAACTTAAGGTGATTGATTATAATAAATACAACTTTGATGCTCGGTCAAATAAATATTGAATGGACTAGATACAATAGTATAAGGTCACTTAAACGGAAAATTTACACCATTACTTATTTTATTATAGTAATTAAACTAATATACAAATTGAAGTATTCACTTTACAACAAGTCTATATGCAATCATCATCAATAAAACAACCTACACACATTCTTTCATTATATAATATGCTCTTTCAAATCGCTAATGTTCAATTCTTTCAATTTCTGCGTAGTATCGTCAACCAACCACTGCTGTTCATTATCATACTCCATATCCATTAACAAAAATAATTTATTCCAATATCCTAACTCCTTTAAGCTAACAGGCCGAGACTTCTCGATAAACCAATCTTGAGCTTTCAACCGATGTTGTTTCCCAAAATACCTAGAGACCGAAGAGTGATTTGATGGTGAGGTAATCGCGTTATCGCATAATGATGACTTCAAGATTGTGGCTAATCTCCATTCTAACAATAACACTTCAAGAAAATTCATCACATCTTCCATAGTGTATATGATTGTATCCTTATCTTTTCCATGTGTTTTTTTATTTTTTCCATCACTTTTATTGGAAATTACTTTCCCAGAATAAATTAAATCATCATTTTTCCCCGTACTTGTTAAATTGTTATTTTTTGGTTTTTCCTAAAATTACAATCGTCAACTAGGAGCCGTTATGAGTATTCTAATTGGAAAATTAATCACTGAAAATACCGATTGGTAAGAATCCAAAGAACTTCCGAATCTCGCTGCACGTCTTTTCCTCTTCTCCAACTCTTCAGAATCGACATTAATAACATTATCTTGAGATAATATAGATTCATAGTGATTCCAATTTTTGTTGCCTCCTATTAATAAAGTCATTTGTTAGATTAACTATTAAACATAAAGTCAATAATCAGAAGTTCATAGCTAATCTGTATCAAGTTTTTAAATTCGCTATCCACATAATGTAAGTATACAATCATAACAAACTCTTGGTAATTGTTTTGAAGGCAAACCAAAAGTTCACTGGATTCGGATTATAATCCTTAAACATTGCAAATCGGATTTATATTTTCTTCGAATTGCAAGTTCAAATATCCCCGAAAATTCCACCTAGTATTTTGGTTACCTTCAAAAAGAATTACCCGTCTACGAAAAATTAATGAATTGTTGCTAAGATTATCTCGCATATAATTTAACGTAGTTCATAAATATTACTCCGTGAAACAAACCTTTTCCTCGGCCGTTACCTCTACCATGAGACCCTCTCCTACTTTGTTGATTATGATATCTTCGAGCCATTGTTAAATATTAGATCTTCATAGACCGTAAATATTTTACGTCAGACAACTATCTTATTGGTTACTTTATATTATTGGCTCAAATTTTCTAAAAATATGCATATTCATTCGAACAGCATGGTACAAGGCGATTTTTATAAGACCAAAGATTATTATTTTTACTACCTAAAAAAACTTTTATCAATGTGTTGTATAACCTTTTTTTTTTTATTACTTCTTTTACACGTTTAGGCATAGTATCAATAAATTTACAAATTTATCAAATCCAACACTTTTCCATCTCACAGTAACAGTTTCTTCTAAATCAGATTCATTGTACGATTGTTAATCCAAGATTTAACTTCTCTTCACACATCTTCGATTGGACTAAGGTCTGGTGATTGCAGTGACTATTTCATAGATATAATTTCAAGCTCAGATTTTAAATTATTTATAAATTTATATTTGTAAATTGGTATATTATCTTTTTGCAGTATTTCCTCATTAAAAGTTAAAAACAATATCTAAATAAGATCTCCATATTCTTGCTTATTTATATGTGATGAAATATGAATTAAATCATATTTACTTATATATTTTCAAACTATAATTGATTTTTTATTACTAGTATTACTTATGTATAATTTAAATTATAAAGTTCATCTTTATAATATCAAATTCCAATTTTTTCATTATAATTGATGCTCATGAAAGATTCCTTTATTTATAAAATTCAACTTCAATATTCTTTAATCCAATTCTTATATTTCTTGATATATTTTAATTACTTTATATGATTAGTTTGCTTATTATAAACTTTCTATAAGTAATATAATATTTGATATTATTATTATTATTTTTTTTTTAAATTGATCAAATTAGTACAGTATATTTATTAATTATTATGAAAACCAAATAGGATATATAAAACAATTATATCATGGCTAAATTAAATCTTGTACTAATTCACTTGTCAATAGCTTTCAATTCTCAAAAGAGTTTCAACCTCTAAGTGCAACTTTGGAAACAATATTTTGTTTTGTAGTAGATTTTGAATAAATACCTTTCTAATTTATTTATTATTGCTAACAGATTGTTATTACTTATTATCCTTCAAGAAACTAATTTTACAAAACTACAAAAAAAAAAAAAATAATAAAAAGAAAAAAAAATATTTAAAACTATACAAGTATACAGTTGCTTCCAAAAGTTTGAGTCTACTTACTATGTTTTTATTATAAATTTTAACTTTAACAATTTTTAAATCATTAACTATACAGTCAAAAATTATAAAATTTATATATATT